TGTACCAAACTGCTGAAGATATCCACTTCATAATTAGCTTCATTCCACCTGGGCCCACCCATCCCACCCCTTGCCAACAGCGCCCCATGGCCAGCCGCCCTGTGTCCTATTGTTTCATTCTGCTGAACTTTGCTCAGCAGCCTCCTTGCTCCTCCTAGGAGCATTTTTACTGAGATACTGTCAACATTACTGCCTTAAGCCCTCAATATTAATGACAATGGAGGCCTGGTGGAAGTCTGCATTAACATTGGTTACAAACGATGGAGCTCAACTGACATGTAGCGGTTTAAACATATGCAAATATTTCCATCATGTGCAACTGCTTTGGAACCAAGCCAAGTGTCCTGGGAGAGCCTAGGCTACAAGTTGTTGATGGCAGACAAAGTGAGTTCTCTGCGTTAAAAAAATAAAAGTCCAGCTTCGCACAGGGTGGACGTAGTGCACAACCAAACTGGACATCTGTGAAAACTACTGGACATCTGTGAAAAGATTTCTCCAGGATATGTAAAGATTTTGATTCTGATTGTGAAATAACATTGTTAACTCTAAATGTAGGCCATGACCAAATCACTCGGAGCATCCCCTAGATCCCGTCAGGTCTTAGAAGTTAAGCAGGGAGGAGATTTTATTGTACTTGGAGGGTGACCACCAAGCACAGCAGGCCGTGGGAGCTGCGTGGTGGACAACAAGTGGACAGTTCGACAAAATCCATTGTTTTGCTTTAATCTAGATTTGAATCTAGATTTGAAGCTTTTGCTTTACTTCTGTGCTCTCGCATCTACACAGCTCGCGCCGACCAGCGTGTTGAGGTATGGTCCGATAACCCCCATTACCCAGCCTGCATCCAGCATTGGATTCGCAAATGGCAGGACGTGGACATGCACATGTACAATACAGCACCCCCTACCTAGCTCGGAGAAAGTATCTACATCGCCAGAGCAATATCTTACACACTTGTACAACAGGAAGTCTTCCCCACTTCAATGCCAATCATCAGCTGCCACCCCAGTGCTGTATTGAACATATTTACATGCACAATACATTACACAGGCTGTGTGAAGTAGTGAGGGTTTATTATTATTCATAATTGGTTTATTTTGGGTCAGATCTCGAGATGTCGAGATCTGAGCTCCTCTTAACAACCTGGTGATGTTGGATGTCAGAATCAGAATATTTATTCATACTGGAGGAATCCGATGAGCTATTAAGCCCTTTTGCACAGATGTTTTTGTAATCTCCAGTGAAACGTCGCACCCATGTTAATGTCGTGAGATTAGTCTCCCACAACAACACCGATGGTGCTGCTGATGAAGCAGGAATAAAATCGCCATGTTTGATTCACGTGACCATTTTACAAATTGGCCGTGTTGGGTAGATGAGGGTTTAGAACACACATTTTTACACGAGCTAATCCAAAATAAACCAATTATGAATCATAATTTTGGTCGTGAAAGCCTTCGTATGGCATTACAATAATTCCTTTTTTATGTTGCACGCATCACAGCAAGCATGCATCACTCATGCCCAGGTAAGTCTAATTCAGGAGGAAGCTTAGGGGAGGGTGGTGGACAGCATCTGGCTCCTGTCTGCACTGAGCAATCACTGCTTGTAGCAAAGCGTCTGCCACCACACATACACCGAGCACCGCATCACACTTTCATGCTTCTGCACTTATTCCCCCTTCTTGATTACTTCTCTTAATTGTGGTTCCTGCCAACCGCCCCATTAAACAGGATTCCTTGAAAGACGTTTGCATTTTAGGTATCTTGTGGGATGAGATTCTATTCACAGTGATCAATACTAATGCCGCATGAAGGCCTCATGCGGCATTTGTATTGTCGCCATCTCTCGCGTTCCTGCGATGTAACAATCCATCTAATACCTGTGCACAAGATGATTTAATCGCTCCATCTCTGTGGTTGATGTACACTCGGGAGCGCGTAACCCACCCTTGGCTTGCAACTTTGTCATTATATTCGACCTCTGGCAACATGTGGGTGCCCAAGCCCACTTACTTTTTGTAAGTGAGAATAGTGTCTTTAATCTGATATCTTTTGAAGTAATTGTTATACTTTCCATTGTAATTTAGTGGACGCAAGTGTTAATATTGTGATGGTGCCCTACTTTGTTTACTGCTGTGTCACCGTGGGAGCAAGAGGCACTGTGGATGCCACACATGCTCACGTGGAATATTTTATTACTCTTCATGTGGCTTTGGCTCTGGTCTGCAATACAATGACTAAGCTGAGAAGAATGTTTTAAAGAGAGCCTCCAATTCCCGAGACCACAAAATGTTCATCCAAGTGTTTTCTAAAACTGGAATGTTAAAAAAATTGGCAAACTATTTTTCATCGCGAAAATCTGCTTTCAATGTAAACGCCAATGCGTGAATATCTGCTGCAGTACGACTGGCTTCCAATCAACGTTGATGTAGAAACAGTGCAGTGCATCATGTGGAGGACATTAGGGTAATCTATCGTGGCCCGGGACTTCACACCCAGGTGCTGCAGTGGAAGATGTCCATGGTGGCCCTTGGAGGCCATTGAGGACAATCAGTTCCTCGTGAAAGGGGGCACAGTAGTCACTGGATGCTCAGTGTTGCCTCTTTGAGCTTTATTTGACGCTGCGTTCACACAGGTAGTTCCAACGGCTCGGCACTTTGCAAACGTCTCCCGATCCTTTGCTTGTTCATCTTCTTGGTTCTTTCGGTAAAGTCACGTAAAAGGGAAATAATAAAATAATTAAAATAAAACATAAAATAATTCTCACGACGTTTCGGCCACAACGCAAGCAGCCGTCCTCAGGTAAAAACAGGTCTGTCGGAAAAACAGCGTCAGACCAACACCGACAGACCTGTTCTTCACCTGAGGACGGCTGCTTGCATTGTGGCCGAAACGTCGTGAGAATTTTATTATGTTTTATTTTTATTATTTTATTATTTCCCTTTTACGTGACTTTACCGAAAGAACCAAGAAGATGAATCCCTACAGTCACGAAAGCTTTAAATCGAAATTTAAAATTCCTTTGCTTGTTCGTTCGTGCGTGCTCACCATCACGTCCCGGTAACGGTGAACATCCCTCTTCTCTCTCTCCCTTGGCCCCATGCAGCCCGTGAGGCGGGAGTCTCTGTCACCCCCGCCTCCCAACACCATCACGTGGGAGGAATACATCTCGTCAGAGCCGGGAAAGTAAGCCATTTTGGGTTTTTTGTTTCTCGCTGTGACGTTTTACACTTCTGTAGCTAAGAAGGAAAACCGAAGCAACAATGGTTTTGTTGACATTTTGAGATGTTTTAAGGTTATTTTACTGCCTGCGGCAGGTTTTGCAACGGATTGGAATCATTATGTGCGAGGCCGTGCCATGCCTTTGTGCGTCGTAACGCCAGCTGTCGAGCACTCTTGAGCTTCGAACATCATTTTATCGGTTTCTCCGAGTCCTTTCCAATTGGGATTTTCATAAGTCACTGGGTGCCGGCCGCTTCCGGCCCATAACCAAAATAAAAAAAGCTGTTTGGCATTGAATCCAATTTTGCATATGCGCTGTACATGCGTGTGTCGGTGTGTATGTGGTGTGCGTGCCGTGCGTGGTGTGTGTATGTGTGAATGTACGCGCGCATTCGTCCGCGAGGGATCCTTGGTTTTTTTGCATGGGTATGCAGCGAGCATGGTGGAAGCGGGGCATGATGTGCAACCGCCTCGGGCAGCTGTCCAACAGCAGCCGGGGGGTGGAGGTGGGGGCTGAGGGAAGGTGGGGGCGTCAGGGGGGAGGTCTAGCCAAATTAAAGCACCAAACACTCCATTTAATACCTTTCGCCTGCCTTTTTTTAATTAATCTGTTCTTCCACAGAAGGATAGCCCACGTTCTGTCTTCCGTTCCCATATCCTTCTTGCTGGTATATACACGTATACTGTACATACTTTAGGAAAGTGGCGGCCAATCAAAGGGCGGATCTCCATTGTGGAATATTATGACCAGTCTACTTATATTCACACACGCATGTGTGTTTGTGTGCTCGTTGTTTCGTTACCACCCTGAAGCTATACAAGTAACCACGGGGATTTTTTTTCACCAGTGATAGAAATAAAAATGACAATCGCGTCGTGCAGAAAGCTGCCGTTCTGGCACTGCGATTTCCGAATACATTATTTTTTAAAACCTAAAAGTAATTGAGAAATGGGAAATGAGAGCATCACGCTCCCGAGTAATTGAACTCGTTGCAACCCGTCTCTGCTGAAGTGTGCTCCGTCGACCATTCGGCCCCGAGCTTTGGACGGCCCGTAGGCGCGGTCGCAGAAAACAGGCTCTCGCGTGAAAGCGCGGGAAACGCATCCGCAATGGTGACAGCTTCTCGCCGCCGACGTCGCCACCGCCGTCCCAAACGCCGCGGTTTTCGACCATGGGCGCGGTGCACAGGAGTGAGCCGTCCTTCAGTGCGGGGGGGGGGCGCCTTGTGCCTGCCGATCTCTCCCGACATGCACAACGGCTGTATGATTGGGCTGTCGGCCATTTTGGGACGGCATGGGGGTTGCGTGCATAATTCTCCGTTAGCAGCGCTTACGTGTCGTCGTGGTCGGGTGTCGTACCGCTGAGAGCGACATCCCGTCCGCTACGAGCACTGTTGATACATCAATAGAATCATAAAGAGGCCCCTTTGCATTCGTGTCTTTGCGAGTGGCCAGGCAGGTTGCAGTTTTCGCGCGTTGGACTTTGCACTTGAGTGACTGCAAGAAAAAATTACTTTGCGACGTAAAAAAACGTCGGTGATCTTGCAAATGTTGACTTGTGGTTTTGCATGTTCTGGAATCGTCCAAAACGGTTTGGTGAAATGGCGAGGAGCCGCAGTGACTTGGGTTGAGGCTGCTACTTGAGACGTTCACCATCGCCAAGTCTCTACCGTGTTTTATTTGCTCTCCGTAGCCAAGATCAGTTCCGCAAAAGACGTGATATTCAGGTCGCCAAGCTTACCTTCACAAAGGAACAGGATGGATCGTTTTAATCGGGTTTGCACACGATATTTAAAACCGTTGCTGCTTATGTAAATAGATTAAACAGCATGTGTATTTTCATATTGAATTAAATAATAAATACAACCTTTTGTCACAATCCACTGCTGGATGAATGCCTCGTCATGTCGGGGTCGGTTAATTTAAGCTATTTGACCATACTTCGCCGTAGAGCTCAGCGTGGGTTGGTGAAGTGGATGGGGTGGATGAACCAAGACCACTTCAGATATCACCCACCGCTGACGTTGGTGATATAGCACGCAATCACACTCTGATTTCTGGATTCACAGTGCAGTGCGCTAACTAACCACTGTTGCACAACCATCCATGCGATTCATATTCAACATAATTGTTGCAAGTAATAACAATTCTGAAATTAATCATTCGTACGTAGCTATTTTTGAGTAGCAGCTACAAGGACCGGGTTCCGTATAGGTATCGGTACTGATCTATAACTGGGGTGTTCTTGCGCGGGAATTTTTTTTTTTTACTTTCGCCGAGTTTTAAGCATCAGTGAGGTTTTGCTGCTTGCAAGCGGCGGCGTTGAGAGAATCATGAGTCACGACGATGAGGAGGGGCGGGGACCAGACCGTGGGAGGTTTGGCGGGAGAAATCGGTGGTGCTTGCCAGCGCGGGAAAGCCGAGTGTGTAAGAACGCGGATGAATGGAGGTGGTGGATGGGGGTTGGGTTGGCAGTTCGGATGGGGTGTTGGGGGCAGGGGTAGGGAGTGGGGGGTTAAAGGGAGAGGAACTGTGGGGGTTGGGTTGTGAGAGGCGGGTGGAAAGGAGGGCTCCTACTTGCTGGAAATGCCGTGGCCTGGGCTTCTTAAAGAGGCCATTAACGGAAACAAAAATGTGCACATGGCCTTAGTGCGAATGGGACAAGCCGTCTTGGTGATGTCCTCACGGTTTGTAAGTGTAAGAGATACTAACAAAGGCAAATCTGCATGTACAACTTTTCAGAATGACTCTTAATAAGTAACATTTAAAATATTTGAACCAAACCCGTTGCTAGAACTCTTACCCTCCATCCTTACTTCTTCATGGTTGCATTTTAACCGAACTATTTTCCACTGCGCCGCATTTAACTTCGAAGCCATTGGGAGGAACAAACTTTAAAGGTTGGAGGGCGGCAGCAACCCCACACCGTTCCGGTGGTGTTGGTGGCGACTTGTGTGATGCGATGGCGAGCTCCTCGACGGTGTCTTCCCCGAGTGCAGCTGGCCCTCGGAGCCAGCTGACTGGCCCCCTCTGGGGTGGCCGCACCGCTGAGGAAACGCCGCCAGACAGGGGGGGCGGGAGGCCGGTGGCCAGCGGAAAACAAGTAATTAAATTTAAAGTTATCTGAAGTATTCGCAGCCACAGAAACGAGTAGAGCAACTTTCTTTTATTTCGCTTAATTTTCATTACAAATATTTACTAGGGTTGTTCAAATTGTTTATTTTGCTTGACTACTAACCTCATTGAAAATTATGACGACCGCTTGTGTTGCCATCGAAACGTCTTTTTTTTTTCTATCTACGTGACTTTACCGAAAAAAAACGATTATGGTAACAAAACCGTTACCGGTTTTTCGCACGTACAGAAATTTCGAGAAATAAACAGTTATCTGAGAAACTAAGATGGCTGCAATAGTGTAATCGTCATTCAATCTCCCAATAAGACAGCTCAAAGAAAAGGCAATAGCCTTAAACCCCCCCCCCCCTGTCCACCCAACAGTCAAAATGGGCATGTCAGTTAGTCCATGGAACAGCAGCTTGCGTGTGGTGGGGGTGAAGTGGTGCTAAGCCCACCTCTTCCAACACATCTGGCCAGTGTTGGAAGAGTAGGCCAAATATCCTCTTCGAGCTACGACTAGTGTCGGCCCTTCTGACAATCAGTGGCTTGAGCAAGCAATTTCAGGGCTGCATGCACCTTACATTTTATTAATCCTTTGGTCTGTGGCTGTGCGGTTTGTATTACGTTCACGCGTGCATTCGTGACTAAAACGCCACTGGAATTGATTACTCACCAGATCTTGACTTGTCAAATTTGTAATTGATACAGAAAACGGTTACCCTAATTTACCATGCTTCTATTAAGACCCACTTTGCTGTTAAACATAGCACCGACACATAGCGTATTAAGCTTATAGGTACGGGGCACTGGCGGAGCCAGTGGGGGGGGGTGGGGTGGCACGCACCCCCCGAATGATCTAATTGAATTCCATAATTTCGATCGGATCATTGGGGTTTATTAGTAATAAATCGGCATTTTGCGACCCCCACTGCCACTGTGTAGCATATTACTACATGCCAGAGACTCTACGAGATGATAGGACAATAGTCTGAGTCCATAATTGGCAATAACGGCAAAGCAGTTATAAGTGACTCACAGAATTGTGCGCTGTTGCGTATACAGTACACGACTTCCCTGAAGGCATTCCTTCAGTGAGCGCGATGCCGATCACACACGGTTCTAATTCGACCCTCGATTGATGGCTGCGCCATCGCCGCACACGCGTCGAATAAAAAGCAAGGGACAAGTCCTTATTTACTAACAACTCCTATAATTTTTCATTGCTGGAGGGGTTGCCCCCCCTACCTGAAAATCCTTGCTCCGCCATTGGTATGGGGGGGAGGTGGGGGAGGAGGTGGCGGGGTGTGTCTGTGGCTTCACTTTATTTTTAATTTTTTGCTGCGGGGAAGAATATTTTGGGAGGTAAACATGTTTCGGTTCACAAATGCATTCAATGGGTCACCGTCCAAGGAACATATTAGTTTGTGGCCGTGGTGCTCGTTGGCGTGGTTGCATGGCGGCTGAGTCAGGCGTGCGTTTACGGTGGCCAGCTCGCTCACATGAGCAATCTGGGTTGCATTCACAGAGCAACTGAACATATTGAGCATTCAGTAAGAGCAGCATTACAACATGACCACCAACATCTGTCGCTTTGACAAGTGCATGCCTCCTGGTATTGTTTCCACCTTTTTATCTTATTATTAGATCCACAATTAATTAGACGTTTTATAATATACCCATCTGTTCTGGGAAGGTATTCAGGTTTGAGTCTGCATAATGCTTGGATGGGTGACCACCAGGTTGTTATAGATGGTTGCAAAGCTGTGCTTCTAGGTGGTCCGCAGAGGGCCGTGCAGCAAAATCCATTGTTGTACTGTACTTCTATGCCGCCCTCTACCTTCACGAACCCCCACTAACCAGCGTGGTGAAATATGGCCAAATAACCCCCATGACTCATACGGGGTGGGATGTACTGACATACATATTTATTGATGCTCCTTTCAAACCCCCCCCACACCCCTCTTCTCTATCATGTCCTTTTACTCTCCTCCCTCTTCTACGTTGTGCTCTGGCCGGAACCTGGCAGGGCCCCTCACCTTGGCCGAGAGCTGGTGTGCAAGGAGAGCTCCAAGAGCTTCAAGGCCACCATCGCCATGAGCCAAGAGTTTCCGCTCAGCATGGACATGTGAGTGGAGGCGGAGGCAGCAGCAACTCGGTTCATCCGTCGATGGAGCTGTGACTTCACGTGAAATAAAAATAATAATGAAACGCTGCGTTCGTATTTCGAGTGCTGTTGATCTATGTCCGAAACTAGCCAAACAACGAGAGTTGTGTTTGTTCATTTAGGCATTGCCTTAGGTACAACCTTGTGCGAGATGTTTCGCATTTAATGGGGTTGTGAGCAGCTTGCATTGCAGTAATGTCATTGACGGTACAGTTTGTCCCTGAAATAATGTGGGCGGATAAATCGTGTCTCCCATGGGCCCTCTAAAATTTTAAAAAAGTTAGATTTTTTTTTTAAATCGCACTCCCGAAGCCCAAAAATGTTACACCGAGCAAAGGAACGCTTGCCTTGTTGTTAGCTACATCTCCACGCTGCACAGAAACATCAAGCGGGAGCCAGTCCCAGTTTAGTATTGCGCTGGACAGTAACTACAGTAACAGTGGATTGTGCATTCCAGTATTGGTTTGTGATTTTCAGTAGTTTCAGTGTCTTTTTTTTACCTTTGTTTTATCTTTTCATTTTTATGAATAAATACATTAATACCTCTAAATGGGAAAAATTTTCTCTTCAACGAAATAACAAGGTTTAGTTTAGGAAAATTGATATTTTGGGGTACCGCACCCCTGTATTAGCCTGGTGTTTCTTGGACACACTGTAGTACCTGTATGGTGTAGACCAAACGTCCATAGCAGAATGTGCCGTTATCTCACAAAATATTTCAACTGCGAGCCTCTGAGTGGTCTTTGCCAGAGGTTGCCCTTCCAATTGTTGTCATCAGTGTGGATTGAAGAGAAGTGCGGCCTCTGTGTTCCCGTTCCCATCAAAGTCACCGTTCGTCCTGTCTGCAGGCTGCTCAACGTCCTGGAGATCATCGCTCCGTTCAAGCACTTTAACAAGCTGCGTGAGTTCGTTCAGATGAAGCTTCCTCCTGGGTTTCCTGTGAAGCTGGGTGAGTCTTGAACACAGCCATTTTCCTTTTTTTTTCAAGCACACTGAATTAAGATTTTAAAAATGTGAAATGTCTTTTACATGTTTTTGTTCTAACTAAAGTGACCACAGTTGTTGTGGAGGTGGCAATTTGCATGAACTCCTCGAAGAAATATTAATAAAAATATAATTGTGTAGTTTAAGTAAAAATAGCCTTGGCAGGGAAAGGTCTGTTGTAGGCTGTGTGTTTAGTTTGTCCATAAATCACGTGGGTAGCCGGCGCTTTAGAGTGCAGGTAGCGGCAGGCGGCTGTGTGTGTGTGTGTGCGCTTGCGCGCACGCCTGAGTGCCAGAGCTGTTAGTCACAGTTCCTGTTTTGAGCTGGCCACCCGCAAGTCTGTACATCGCGTTCCTGCCATCATCAGGATTTTCTGACCGCGTGCCAAAGAGATTTATGAGAGAAAGCAGCCGTCGCCCGTCGTTCCCGTGCTCATTAAAACACCGCTGCCGATTGTGTTGATCTGCCCGTGCATGTGCACACGAGTCCCTGCTCTGATCCCCTCCGTTCACAAATGTCGATCTGCATCTCTGGTTTCAGTTGAAGCCTCGAGTAACAACCTTGGTGACAACGTCGTGTTTGTAGGCGTTTGTCAAAACGTCATAATGCACGCTGCACAATTAATTTGTGTGCTAACCCAGTCTGCGTTAGAGAGTCCTTACAGTGCAAGGCACATGCGTGCATCGTGAGGAAAATCTGACGAGCCATGCTACTTCCATCACTGCTCTTTTGTGTCTTGTCATCCGGTCTCGTAAGCCAATGCTAAAGCAACTTTAGCATACCAAAAGGGACGGAGCTTGGCTCAACAACCGCCCTGCGTTTGGTTAAACTGTTAGAAGGTGCTTTCCTGCCGAGCTGGCATCCTCAGTGGGAACAGCTTTCTCTGGCGCAAGCGGTCCTTTAGGGGAACTGAACTGGTGGGGAGGTAAAAAAAAAATTCTCAGAAGAGTTTGTGGAAAAGGAATCTTTGTAGTGACTGGCAAAATAGAGGCAGTCACAGGAACAAGTGGCCCTTTGTGTTGTCTAAGCTCACAGGCATTGTCACTTAGACTGGGATGACTGTATATTATTACTTTGAATGAGATGCTTTGGAAATCAAAGTCATCCAATACGGTAAATTTTTAAGAGTTCGCAAAATAAAGTAGCACATTCTATGACACTTCAGTAATTGTACTCGTTGTCATTTGTTCACATTTGGTCATTTCAAGGAACTGGCGATTGATATAATTATATTGTTATGCAAGGAAGCACGTAGGGTTTTTATTTGCAGTAGTTGTCTCACATTTGAAAGATAATTGTATTTGTATACCTTCTTGCACCAGGCATTTCTCGGGGTCGTAAGATGAGACTTGCAGATGCGCGCGCGTCATGCTGATTGCATCCCGGGTGGTTTGTTTCATGGCTCCATGTGATCTTGTGAACGAGTCACTCATCTCTCCTCTCTGCTCATTTCTTTTATCCCAGGATTGTAAGAAAGTTATCTCTTCTTCATCCAGAGATTTTAGTTGCATTTTGTTATAATAGTGTTGAAGGTCATGCACATTGATTATTTTGTTGAGGTTAGGAATAAGTTTAATTTCAGCACTGTGATAGAGGTGGGTCTCAAGGGCTAAAGTAATTATTCACTAAATACAAACTAATGAAAGCAGTCTTCTATTCGTTAAATCCAGCCTTGCCGTTCAATTGAAAACCAAATTGTTTTTAAATCAAATTCACCACTGACACATTTGGATGGGGTTTTTTTGGTTGTTTAAAGCTGTATACAATTCCCTATTGGTCACTCAGCTGGCATGCAGTGTGCGCTGCCTGTACTGTGGAGGGTGTAGGCTACGGGCCGTCTCACAGTAAGCGAATGAGGGCCGACAGGCAACGTTTTCTCCCTGTAGTCTGTCCGTACACAGAACGAGGTTGTTGAAACGTGCTCGGGTCTACGGGGACGAGCTTTGGGTTTGCAGTGTATGTTGATTCCAACAATGTGGGTGTCTGTCCGCTTGTGTCAGCCGGAGGCTCTAAAACCAGTGGTTGGGTGGATGAGATGAACACGGCAGATTGGGCTGTTCCGACGGCCACAGTAGTATTTTAGCGTTGGACACAAGTCTGCGTCAAACGCTGCGAGTTTATTCCCATATTAGTTTCGTGTTTGGCAGTGGGCATAGAATAAAAACTCGTTACGGAGACTTGTACAAAGAATCTGGCATTCAGAAACTGGAAGAGCTGGTTTGAACCTGTTGTTTGTGCATTGCTTAATGAGATGAAGCGGTGGCACAGCGGGCATTGTATAGCACCGTTGTAGTGTGCAAGTTGAGACAGTGCCTGTGTAAAGGTGGCTAATGTAAATGTCAACACTTTCCAGTTATCTTGCAAGATTCCTTCGTAAAGCGCGCTCCACACAACTCGGCCATTATTAATGGTGGACACGTACCTAATCCTAGTTTGTAATGCTGGATGCCTTGTGAAGTGAACCACGGTGCATGCTGTAGTTTTGACGGTGCGATTCCTACTTCAACACATCAGCATTACACTAAAGGCTGAAAAGCAGCAGACAAAACATTCACCATTGAGAGGTTACTGCCGTAACGTCAAATATGTGAAGTTATGCCTCATGCACTCAACCTCAGGTGACACATGTTTATATTGTCAAGTGTGTGTGTTTAGATGGCGTCTCGTTTTGCTCGTTTCGTGTGCAGATATCCCTGTGTTTCCGACCATCACGGCCACCGTCACCTTCCAGGAATTCCGCTCCATTGAGGATCTTCCAGAATCCATGTTCCGGATCCCAAGCGAATACCGAGAGGACCCCAACCGCTTCCCTGACCTCTGAACCCGACCACCCAGTGGCTGTGCCCACTGGCCCTCGGCTCCAACAGAGCGCTGTGCCAGTCCCTCCCTTGTGCAGGCCTCTCTCCCCTCCCCCATGTTGTGCCTCCCTTCCATACTCACAGCCTCCCCTGCCTTCAGGATGTCAGAGCGCTGATCCTGCCCTAATGCGTGACCCTGCCACTGCTGCACGCTGGGGAAGGATGCCAGGGAAGGCCCAGAGCTTCGAGCTTTGACTTCTGAAGCCTGTGTGCGGCCCTCGCTGATGGAGCTGCGGGGAAGCGTTTGTGCTGTCCCCCGACTGTGAGACCTCTTTCAGAATTTCTGAACCTGACCGTGTGAAACGTGATCAAACTTGGATTTAAAACATTTCCAGGAATATACATTTATTTTTCTGTTTTACATTATCAAGCCAGTGCACATTATTTGCATCCGGTGTGATACAAAGTGGCATCTGAAGACGGGACTATAGTAAAGCTGTTGGATAATCTTTGCCTCCACTCGGAGTTATTATCACAAGTACCTGTTAATGTTTCACTATGGGCTTTCTACCAATGGCTCACATGGGTTAGAACTGGACTAACTAAATTTTTTAAACTTCTGCTTTCATATACAGATTATCAAACACCCCTTAGTTGTTTGCCACCCAGCCATGGTCAGTGACTGTGCAAAATAGTCGTTTGTGTCGTAATTATATTGGCTGAACTTAGTTTTAAAACAAATAAACGTTTGCGTCAATTACGTGCTGCAGGAGCAATTAAGACACTTGAAGGCCGATGTGATGATGCTAATCAATACCAGCAAAGAAGCGCGTAGTTTCACAACTGCAGCTTAGTTGAGGCTTGTCTCAGCAGAGATCTTAAACGATGAAGGCCAGAACAGGGTTCAGCTATTTTCAGTGTGGTAAGTAAATTGAATTATGGTACAAAATGTTAACAAGACATTATATATAAACAAGAAACAATGCCTTTGGAAATGCTGAAATATTAGAACAATGTAAAGAAAAGCTTTTGCCTTAAGGGATCACCATATTGCATGTAAAGAAACACACACAAAAAGTTTAAACTTCACGAAGTTAGAATGTCTATCTCTTAGATGGTTGAATCACACGGCAATTCTTATGCATAGAATCCCTTCCATGTGTTGCCAGTTTTTAATGAACGTTAAGCTGTTCTGACTGTGAATTATTAGACGTAGCATCCTGTTACCTGCCTCTCAACTCCAGCAGCATCTGGTCTGATCTCTGTACTGCATCAGCTGGAGTTGATCAGAGAGCATGCTTTTGGAGACCATAAAACGGAGGCAGGTTATTGTGGAAATGTTTTACATTTCACTTGTTTCGTAAATAAGGTTTTATCCCACGTTTCGTGTGCACAAATCTGGTTTGTAAATTGTGGAAATTAAAGTAATGCAATCACTTTCACATCAACTAACAAACAGACAAATCTCAAAGCCATTTTTGTAAATATCACACGATCCGTTTTTGTCAACCTCTAGGGGTATTTTAACCTCTTGTACTACACAAAATCTAAATCGTATCCCAATTTACTTGAACATGCAGAACATGTCTCATTAGCAAGAAAAGCAGCAATATTGTATTTATTTACCTAGAGCATAGTATGCATCCAATTTTTAGATAGTGAAGTGCTTTATGCACTTATTGCAACACCGATTGCATTCTTACACAGGTTTTTGTATATACATTAAGAACTTTAATTAATTACATCCCTATAAATAATAGCAGGTGCGTCACTATTTTAAACAATGGCATGGGTGTAACTTTTCACAAGAAATCACTTTTGATAATGTACTGTACGATACAAACACAGGAATATGGAGCTGTTGTCAAATGTGGTAATTGACATTTATTTCGTACATTTTGAAACTTTCATGTTTAAACTTCCATTGCTTCACCCCCAACTTGGACGTTCACATTTCTGCAATTGAACACCGATTACTGATACAATATGCCTGCTTGGTCTGACATTTGTACGGTGAATAAATGAACGTTCACAGGTTGGGTTTCGAATGGTCTATGGCCTGTTAACAATGATGTCAAAGGTTACATACAGGCCGTGTACACACGTGGACATGACAGTCTTGCACCAGCACATTGTAAAGTTAAATATGATAACTTATAATAATGGTAAAGAAAATTCCAGCGGTTTAATTTCATGCTATCGACATCATATCATGGGGTGAAGTATCAATTCGGATCTCTTGCAGAGCAGTGCAACCCTTTGTGTAGATGTCACAGAGCGACTTCTGAAATCCCCTTCAAGTGATCTGATCCACAGAACTTTCCAAACCCATCTGCCACTGACAAGAAAGTTTGTCATATGACAGTCAAATCAATCTTTTTTATTCTCAGCTGGAATTAAGTGCAGAACCAAATTTTACGTGATTGCTTTTGTGCAGTCATTGGTTACTGGGCTGAGAGCATCTAAGTGTAATAACTTTAGTGCAACAGAAACCAACACAACCGTCTGCTTCATGCTGCTGAAACCTGGGCTGCTAGTTCTTTTAAAAAATCTTCGACTGCTTCATCTTCTTGGTTCTTTCGGTAAAGTCACGTAGAAGGGAAATAAAAATAAAACATAAAATAATTCTCACGACGTTTCGGCCACAATGCAAGCAGCCGTCCTCAGGTGAAGACCAGGTCATTCAGACGCTGTCTCCCCGACAGACCTGGTCTTCACCTGAGGACGGCTGCTTGCGTTGTGGCCGAAACGTCGTGAGAATTATTTTATTATGTTTTATTTTTATTATTTTATTATTTCCCTTCTACGTGACTTTACCGAAAGAGCCAAGAAGATGAATCCCTGCAGTCATGAAAGCTTTAAATCGAAATGTTCCACGGCTGTTGTGGCCCCGTCTGCATATATAAAGATCCCCCGTATAGCCTTAACAGACTGTAGGTTAGCAAGCACTTATGAAGGTCGTTATCCCTGTGTCATGTCACAATCGATTACGTCTCTACAGTTGGAATTAATCGACTTACATCAGGTTTCGATTTTAGTGATATAACAAAGTTGTCACAAACGTTCGGCACAATTCAAGCCCAGAGCAACTTGCCACCAACTTGCCCGCAGATTGAACATCTTGTAAAGCTACCCCAATGTGTTCCGTTTATTTACGGTAAAGCCCATTAAGCTAAGAATATATTTTTCAAAGGCTACCCGCCCATGAGCAATATCGCTGAGTGATGTTGACGGATAAAACTTTGCTTTTCACTGCCTGACAAAATAAAGCTGAAACAGGCATAATTATTAAATTAGCGTTACACAAACAAAAAAGACATGCGATTAAGTTTAGGGTTTGAATAGGAAAGAAAAGAAAGTAGTTTTTAAAGATATCATTTACTGATTATGTCCCCTAAAAATTTAGATAACATTCAGCTCCCACCCAATCTATTGCTGGATGCCGTCCTTTCGACACTGCCGATCATGGGGGCATATCTTTACATTCCCAGTGATATTCATCAGGGCAATCAAGCGATTGTAAAGTATAACTACGCTCCTTATATCACATTGCCAGTAACAGGAGAAAAAAACATGCCCATTCTAAACCGCGACGAACTATTAACTGTCGACAAAATCTTAATTGGGTAGTCTAGAGAGACACTGGATAATGCAGTAACACGTGTGTGATGACACTTCATTGAATCAGCTCCATACCACTGGTGGAATGTCAAGTGAAATAGAATGTCAAATCAATCTCTGGCCCTTCAAAAGGCCCATATTGAGCCTTGCACGCACACACATACACAATGGTACATGTGCTGTTAAGCATGGCATTTTTGTTTTCTTTTGTTACACTTGGAGTCCAGAACGATCAGTTTGAAGGTGCATGATATAACGTTTGCATCCTCTGTTGAGGAATTGTGTTTTGAGTGTCACTTTTTTGTTACTAAAACTATAAAAGGTTTTCACTTCAACCCCAGCGCCAACCTTGACCCTCACCACTTGTGAGCTGGCGATGGCAATTCCCAAAAAGTGAAAATTGTGACGCAGCTACAATGCCATACTTTGTCTGTTCCACTGACCTACCCCCCAACTGCACTGTAACCCCCCCCCCCCCCCCACAATAACAAAAAATATTAAATAAAAATAAACACTTTTTGTACAAAAAAATCCGTGTTCTTTTCCTGAACTTTTGTAAAGCAGCGATTTAATTGTCTTTATTTGTGTCATTTATGTACAGATACATGTGCAGAATTTTTGCAATCCACTGCTGAATGAGGGCATCTCCATGCTGTTCGGGTCATGGGGGTTATTTGGCCATATTCCAGAACACTTCGGTACGGTGAGGTGAAGGCATGGAGCATAGCTCGAGCGTGGAGGTACAGTACAACAATGGATTTTGTTGAACTGCCCATAATGTCGCCTTGCAGCCTATAACACCTGTTGTGTATTGCAGTCGCCTGTGCAAGCACTACCCTGGCTAAAACCTGGTTAGTTTCCCACATCTAACAAGATAAAAATCTACATTTAAGTACATTTGAATTGCACTTACTCTTTTAATAATTTAGAGTGGACATTTCACACCACAATAGAAGCAACTTGCCATATATTGTTATGTGGTCGGTGTAAGTGTGGTTGTGTGATGAGCATGGCAAGATACTGTTTGCAGTGCTGTGATTGTGGAATCGTCGAGATCTGGGCCTGAGCCACCGTTGAAATGTTCTTGGAAGTGTTTTTCTCCACACGATTTCTAAGAATCTTGCAACAACTTGCACAGAGTGAATGCCACGTGCTTTTCTCTGCCAATGAAATCCAGAGAAAATATCACGTACAAAGCATTGCATATGAATGACTCGTGATTAATAATTAACCCCCGAAGACATCAATTCATTACACAATATAAAATACTGTTGAACAATGTTTATTATAGTTATCTTTGTACATGCTTCATTCACAGGTATCCACAGTAAAGCACCTACATGCCATCACATGGTAATGTGCTTGATAGGGCTCTATTGTGTGTGGTTTGCTCTGTGGTTGTCCTGTGCTGGAGTTACATTTTTTTCATCTTCATTAACATAAAAATGCAGTGCATAGAAGCATACTATTATTGCTGATGACATGGCATTGTTCTGCGTTTGGGTGTGCCAAGAAAGAAGTGACCCATCTCCCCATTTGAACTTTGGTTGAGGCGGCCTCATGGTCAGGAAACGGATGGGTGGTGAGTTTTTTTTAAATGTTATGAGCTTCCAGGAAGACCAGAAGGTGGTATGCATATCCTACATCCGACATGTGGCCCATTACAACCTGTCACTTAGGGGTAAACCAAGAGACTCCAGATAGAGTTACCACCTCAGGAATACAAAAAAACCAGGACAATCATGGGAAGAAGAATATCTCAATACCGAAAGAGAGGAGAACTATTTGTGAATGCATTGTTTTGAGTGGTGTATTATGACACAACAGACACATAACGGGGCTTTTAATGTCCCTGGAAGATGCATCTTTCCTAGGACCGCTATCTCAAAAAGAATAGACAATTGTGGGAAAATGACCCCGAGCTCTAGAGGAGACATTCAACTTATTTTTTTTACTGACTTTCACGAATTAATTGCTGACAATAATGATTATATTCACGTCATTATTTCGTTACATTTTGTGGTATGAACACTGAAGCAATTGTGTGCAGTTTCTTTGTCCGCTTGCCTCATTCAGAAGTCCCATGTGGCACACATAAAGAATTATTATTGTATATAGGCGTTGCGCACACGCTTACAGAGACCAGGTTGTCGGTTCAATGGAGCACAGTTACGCAGTGGTCATGTTTTTAGTCCTGTGTTCCTCAGCATGTGATGCTGTTTTAAATGTGTCTGCCTTCCAATTGTGGCAGCTATGTAGCTGTTTGAGATGTACAAAGCTCACCTATTACAATACTGTAATTGGTATTTTTACATTACATTATTTGTAGTGAACTGTCATACTTTTATGGACATGCCTTGGTGTAGAGTGACGTTTGTGAAAAGGGGAATATCTTGGCATGGGAATTCGAGCTCGTGTTGGAAATGTAAAAAGTTAATTTAATTGTTGTACAAAGCATGTTATGCTTTCGGCCAGAATTATGCATATCTCGCTTATTTTGTACCTGTTGTGTTTAACAGTTTTACTAGTGGTCGACGCCTTCGCAACCGGACACCCACACATTTTGCACTCTCGGCAAGAAAAAGATACGTTTTAAAGCAGAAACATGACTGGCGACATCTCAGAATGAAAGGGGGTAAATTAGAGGTGGTGGCACTTGCTTTCGTGTCACTGTGTTGGGCACATGGAGAGGATGTGGGCCCTGCCTGCGTGAAAAAAACACAGGATCGGATATGTCTGCTTATGTTTTGTGACCTTGCCCTGCTCGCTTTTGGAAATCCGTTTAAAACCATATGAGTGTGTGTAATCGCTGGGAGTACTTAGTCGGCCTGTTCAGCCGAATGCTGAACAGATGATTTGTGACACATAGGGTCGTCTCCTGTGTAAAATAATAGCGTTTGACTTTTCTTTATAAATGTCATATCAACATTAAACATAGCTAGATGAAGTTCAACTCTTGGTCGGGTGTCATAAAATCTCCAGTGATTCATGTTTCAGTACTTTATTATTTCACGTTTTATACAATGTTATTGGCCTTTTAACACACGTTTGCAGTATTGCTTTCAGCCATATCTACCTTGAAAAAAAAGAGGCAAAGTGAAGTTGGATTGTGGCATCGTTTGACTGAGAGGGATGGTAACGACGTGGGGAGGAGGCCTTCATCCATCAGTGTATAAAACATGGCTAATGGTGATTATAATGATTGAAGGTTATGATGCCAATGTATGCAGAACCTCGCACTCACTCCATCGCTGACCGCCTTTGTCACAAACTCGCAGCCGGATTTGTACAACTGACATTGGGGCGGATCAAAGAGTTCTGAAAGGCTAACCGCATCGCAGTGGTGCCAAAGTTAGGAAATTAAGTCTTCGTAAACGGTACGGATCAATAGGGAGCAAACATGACCAATGCGTAGG